GAAGTCTCTAGAAGGGGGAAAGGTCAAGGACATGGCTTCCCCTCTGCCGTCTACAGAAGGAATGCAGCCCTGTAGTCACCTTGGTGTTAGTTCACTAAAACCCATTCTGGACTTCTGATTTCCAGAATTGTAAGATGCTGTGTGTTGTTTTAATCCACTAAGTCTGTGGTGACTTGTCAGCAATAGGAAACTAATACATGTGGGTAGGGACGAGGGAGCATTGAGTATAAGGGCCTTGTACAACTGAGTGGATGGTGGTTTGGAACCCCAGAGAAAGAGTGGGGAAGGGAGGAACATAACGAAGCATTGACATAGGACTCCGGAGGTCGGGGTGTCTGTGACACTTCCCTGGACAACTGGCAATATGGATCTGGCACTCAAGAGAGAAGCTGACCCCAGAAAGGGATTTGGGGACATCCTCAAATATTCTGTGATTAAAGCCAAGGAGTGAGAGGGAACATTCACAGACAAAAGAAAGTCAGAAGAAAGGAACAAAACCCAAGGAAACCTCAAACCCAAGTGGATCATACAAAGTGGAGTGGCCAGAGAGGAAGAGGAAAACCAGACTTGTGGGTTATAGAAGTCAGAGGACGGCAGAGTTTCAAGGAGTGGATGTCAACAGTGTCCCATGTTGCTGACAGGTAAAGAAGTGGTTGACATCACTTGCATAAAAATAAAAATCCCAACCCTCCATATGTGAACATACCTACTTATAAGTATTTAAACAGGCAGGGAAAGGCTGGGCGACGGGGCTCCCACCTGTAATCCCAACACTCTGGGAGGCTGAGGCGGGTGGATTGTTTGCACTCAGGAGTTTGAGACCAGCCTGAGCAAGAGACCCTGTCTCTATTAAAAATAGAAAGAAATTAGCTGGACAACTAAAAAATATATATAGAAAAATTGGCCAGGCATAGTGGTGCATGCCTCTAGTCCCAGCTACTCGGGAGGCTGAGGCAGGAGGACTGCTTGAGCCCAGGAGTTTGAGGTTGTTGTGAGCTAGGCTGACACAACAGGACTGTACTCAGGGCAATAAAGTGAGACTCTGTCTCAAAAATAAATAAATAAAAATAAAAAAATAAATGGGCAGGGAGGAAGGAACGGTTAAGTAACAGCGACCCCTTCTGAAGCCAGACAACCCAGGTTCAAATGCAGATTCTATCATTTTCTAGTGGTGTAACCTTGGTCCAGTTGTTTCACCTCTATATGCATAGAGGTGAAGGCATAATAACTTCCTATTTGTAAAGGGATAATAACAGTACCTACCTGTATGTGACTGGTTTTTTGTTTTGTTTTTTTTAGACAGAGTCTCACTGCATTGCCCTGAGTAGAGTGCCATGGCATCAGCCTAGCTCACAGCAACCTCAAACTCCTGGGCTCAAGCAATCCTCCTGCCTCAGTCTCCCGAGTAGCTGGGACTACAGGTACACACCTGGCTAATTTTTATATTTTTAGTAGAGATGGGGGTCTAACTCTTGCTCAGGCTGGTCTAGAACTCCTGACCTCAACTAATCCTCTCGCCTCGGCCTCCCAGAGTGCTAGGATTACAGATGTAAACCACCATGCCCAGCCTGTATGTGATTTTTGTGAGGATTATTTAAATATATGTATGTTTATATATATAAATAAATATATTGAAAGTGCTTTGAGCCACACCTGGCACATGGTAAGTCTTATATAAGTGTTTGCTATTGTTGTTATTATTATTATTACTACCCACTGTAATTTATTTTGTTTTCTTATTTAAGAATAACCAGTTCTGCCAAACAAAATAAAAGAAACAAATATTGTAAGGAAGATAAAGTAGAAGCAAGTAGTTTGTGAGATAAAGTAAGTAGTGCATCTATGAGCTGAACATAGAGAGGAAGGGTTGGAAGGACCCAGAAGGCAGCAAATGTTCTTGATACAGTAAATATTCATGAGGCACATGAGGCATTCAATATTCAGGATGTCCTAAAATGACCACCCACTGGTGATACCCATGCAAGCTGCATTTGTTCTCTACCTGAGAAATGCGATATAATCCACAGCTATTCATCTGGCTAATTGGTAAGCTAGAACAGCAGCCAGGCCTACTTGCTCCTGTGTTTCCTGATAGAGCGAGCAAGTTGGCTCTGGCTCTAGGCACCTTCTGTCTGCCAACCTCTCCACACCCCTTCAGTCTCAACTCTAGTCCTTGTAACTATACCATCAGCAGGGAAGAATGATGAAGCCCAGAACAGAGGTTAGGAGGTTGAGGTGGTGGTGGTGGTGGTGAGGAGACCTATGTATATTTTGTAAAATATATAACCTGTTTGTACCCTATTCTAAGTGTGTTAATCTGCCCTTTCCCCTGGTTTCTTACTGTGCATTTTAAATTGCTTCAGTTAAGTCATGTGATTTCAACATCTTAATTTTGCCTGTGTACTTAGATGCTAATTTCTCACACTACGCCCACTGGTTAGCTCACACAGGGTAGAAGGTGGGGGAGGAGTAGCCCATCACTTTCTCTTTATGTATATTTGTATCATTTCCTTAGTTAATGATTCTCTGGTATTTTAAAAATTAAGAGAAATTTAAACATGATAATATTTAGTATGTTATGAGTTGAAACAATGACAAAAAAACCTGACCATATTTAAAGGGATGTGGCTGCCAGGAAAAAATTCCTGCCTACCAAGTTCAATTAAAACATTTTTTTTTTTTTTTTTGAGACAGAGTCTCGCTTTGTTGCCCAGGCTAGAGTGAGTGCCGTGGCGTCAGCCTAGCTCACAGCAACCTCAAACTCCTGGGCTCGAGCAATCCTTCTGCCTCAGCCTCCCGAGTAGCTGGGACTACAGGCATGCGCACCATGCCGGCTAATTTTTTATATATATATCAGTTGGCCAATTAATTTCTTTCTATTATAGTAGAGACGGGTCTCGCTTTGCTCAGCTGGTTTTGAACTCCTGACCTTGAGCAATTCGCCCGCTCGGCCTCCCAAGAGCTAGGATTACAGGCGTGAGCCACAGCGCCCGGCCAAAACATTTTCTTCTATGCTGACCCTTGAGGGTACCCTGTTCCATCTGAAAGCAAACTGACAGCTTTCATCTCTCAGGTGGATTTGCCTTCACTTTCAACATGGAGCTGTCTTTGCAGGTCAAGAACTTTTCCTTTCTGCTTTTTTCCCTCTCTTTCCATATGCAGGAGAGAACTTGAACCATGTTAGAGCTGGAGTCTGTTCACTTTTTTCCTTTCCTTTTTTTTTTTCTATTAAAAAAAGTTGCTCTTTTACTAGCTGGACAGATAAGAAGAATGGTAAGTAAGTAATGACAGTTTAGCAACTGAGTACTTTATGAGCCATTCAGTTCAAATAATGCAGGAGGAAGCAGCTGTCTCCACCACCAGACTCTAGAATCTGTTCTCTGAATCCAACAGCACCTTCATCTTTCATTTGAAACGCTACCATTCACTGCCTTTGTTTGTTTGTTTTTTTGAGACAGAGTCTCTCACTCTGTTGACTGGGCTAGAGTGCTGTGGCGTCAGCACTGTCACAGCAACCTCTCATCATGGCTCAAGCCCATCTCCTGCCTCAGCCTCCCAGCAGCTGGGACTACAGGCATGCGCCACATGCCTGGCTATTTTTCTATATATTTTTAGTTGGCCAATTAATTTCTTTCAATTTTTTAGTAGAGATGGGGGGGGGTGTCTCACTCTTGCTCAGGCTGGTTTCGAACTCCTGACCCTTGAGCGATTCACCCGTCTAGGCCTCAGAGTGCTAGGATTACAGGCGTGAGCAACCCCACCGGCCCGCTGCCTTTAATAGTTTTGTTTTTATGTGTCACTATTGCAAGTGGATATATGAGGCTAATGTAACTTAAGCTTCAGGGACCCTTCATAGGCTCTGGGAGGGGCCCTAGAAACTTTGTATCTGTAATTGTTTTACTTTTCAAAAGAGGGACTCTAATTCCTAGGCTTCAGGGCCCATAAAATTCTCAACAGTATGATTTCATGGTTAAGAGCTAAAGCCTGGAGATAAAAGAAGCCTGTTCTCCCTTTGGTAACTTTGGATAGGTTACATTAACTTTGGGCCTCGGTTTCTTCAGTTGTAAAATGGGAATAACATTACCTATACACATAGATTATGACAAGGTTAAACAGTGTTCAATCATAATAAATGTTAGCCACCATTATTACTACTCTTGTTGCCAGGCAAGTCCATAAACTCCCTGGGAACAGTTGCACTCACCCGCAGGGCCCACCACGGCACATAGAAATACTGGCTCAGTGAATACTTTTTCATCAACTCTCTCCTCCCACCGTTGTGCGTGTTTAGACAGAAATACCACTTTCATTATATTTTTAGTGCGACACACACAGTTCAGCAAGGCGCCAGTAGCACCTTCCTAGGAAAGGCTGCTTTAGTCTCGCCCGTCCTGTCCCAGGTCGACCGAGGACAGTCCATCCAGGCGGAGCTAGAGACCTGAGATAGCGCATCAATAGCCCTGGCACTGTGTCTGGCCTCAGCGAGTGCTCAATAAATGACTGCTGTCATTACAGTCCCAGCCCAGGCGGCCATCCAGCCGCCGCGCCGCGCCGCCCGCAGGATTTGCGTGGTGCAGGGGCTCGCGGGGAGCCGTGGGGGCGGGGGAGAGGTGGGCAGGATGGGACTCGCCGCGAGCTTTCGCCTCCGAGCGCGCGTCCCAGCAGCGCCGGGTCCAGGGTCCCCGGGCCGCGGGGCGGGCGCAGGCGGGAGCCGACGCATCCGCCGCCGCCGCCGCGCAGGAGGCGGAGCGCTGCACCTGCGGCCGTCCTCGGCGCTCAGCCCTGAAACGGGTCCAGCCGGTAGTGACCGCGGCAGCGACGGGTGAGCCGACCGAGGAGGAGGGGAGGGCAGGAAGAAGTCGCGCGCGGCGGGTGCGCCGGGCCAGCCGCTCGCCGTCGCCCCACCGGCCGATCCCTCCGCTGCGCCCGCCCGCCGCCGCAGCCCCGGCGACAGGCCCGCCGCGTGTGCCGGCGCACGCCGCGCCGGCCGAGCGCGCTCGGCTCGGGGACGTCTGCCCGCGCCCCGCGCAGCTGAGCGCCGCCAACGCCGCAGGTGAGTCGCGACCGGCGCGGGGAAGAGGCCCTCCGGGCGGGGGCGGCCCGGCAGCCCCACCCTGGCCTCCCGCCGGGACGGGCGCAGCCGCAGCCGCAGGGCGGGGAGCCCCTCCGCCGCGCACACCTGCTGTCGGGAAGGGGGCTCCGGGAAGGGGCCCGGGGGAGGGCGCGCGTGGGTGTCTCGGCGCCCGGCCTCGCCCGCGGCGCTCTCCCTCCCCTCGGCTTCTGTGTGGGCTGTCATCTTTGCGGGGTGCTGGGGACGCTGCAGCCCGCGCCCCTGGCGTGCCCGCGCGGGCAGCACTTCCGCAAACGTAATTGGAGTCGGGAAAACAAAGGCGCTGCCCGCCGAGCCCCAGCCGGCGCCCGCAGCTGCTGCCCGGGGTGGGGGTGGGCCCCAGTGTCCAGGCCCTGCTCGGCCGGCCCCACTGTCGCCCGTGCGATAAACATCCCCGGGAGAAAGGGGGAGGTGAGAATCTCCACACGCCCCAGGGACACGGACGAGGCCACTTGCGTGGCAAGAGGAGGAAATTGACTACGTCTGCCTCCCCAGGTGCATTGAATAAATCTCTTCCCCCTGCCTACTACCATCCTAGGAGAAAAAGCCCACCTCGTGCCTTTTTTTTTCCTTCCACTTAATCTAACATGTCCCTGGAGCCCTTTGAGATAGTAACGCGGGGGGGGGGGGGTGCTGGTCCTTCTGGGTCCTAGTTCCTATATAGTAATTTCCCTGTAAATTTAGGTAGGACGGTGAAAGATTACAGACGCAGCCTTCTCTCTCATTTATCTCTTCCCTACGTGGACAGACAGGTGGATTAATTATCCTTAAAGCCAGTACACTGAGCATTTTGACTCTCCCACACACATTCCCAACTGCAAACATTTCTTTTCATCCAAAAAATATTTAATAAGCACCTCACAGAGCTACTGGAACATATAATACCTTGCCTATTAGTAGTATGAAGGAACCTTAAATTAAAAAGTTGAGATTCTAATCCCAACTGTTGTCTAAATAGTTGTGTTTCTTTGGGCGTGTCACATCTTCCTGAGCCCAAATTTTCTTACGTGAAAAAAGGAGATGGTTGGATAGCAGAGTGGCCAAGTTTCCTTTAGCATTCTAGAAGCCCATGATTTTGGGGGAAATCCAGCGCCTTCAATATAGATGAATGTCAAGGGTGGGTGGACATACAGTTGACCAAAATATGTAACAAAAGGAGACGAACATTTGGCAGATCCCTTCTCCAAGATGTGGGCACTAGCCAGCTCAAGGTGTATCCACCCATCATTGATGTCCTTGTTAAGTAAAAGGAGATAATAGAATCTTCTTCATGGGGAAGATTGGTTTTTGACACAAGCTGCTGGTCATTAGCAGACATGGAGGACATTTTCAGTTATTTAGTGGTAGTCAGATGGCTTGTATTTATCACAAGTTCTAAGTAAAATTTAGAATTGCTTAAGGGAAGGTTGAGACTTTGTTAATGAGCCCAGTGGAAGACACTCTGGGCTAGTAGGAGGAGAGAGGATCATATTTCAATAATGCATTAAAGCTACTAAGCATGTTTGCAGCATTTTATTTTTAAGGCATGTTCTGTGTCTGTACAAATAAGGTAAATATAAAGACAGGAAAGCAAACTAAAGCACAAAGACAAAACTGCAAAAGTTTGTTGGTATTTGGTGCTATGGGTATTGGATCACCCATTCCATCATAAACAGTTTCTGGATTAACGTGAATAAGGCATTTTTTGAACACTTGCTGTGTTCAAAACAACATCTGATACACTTAATTTCTAAATCTCTGTAAAGTAAGTCTTTCCCCTAATTTTGTGCATGATGAAAAGGAAGTTAAGAAGGGTTAAGCAACTCACACAGACCGCATAATCAGTAAGAGGTGGAGTTAGATTTGACCTCCTGTCTCTGGTTCCAAGCACAGGAAATTTCCACATGGTGTCCCTCCCTCCTCAAAACCTATTAAGCCTAACCACCTACACAGATGCCTTTCTTTGCTTCTTACCTTTGAAAATTAACTTCACTTCAACGTACGTATATTACATGTTAACATTAATCCATGTAGAATTATATATTTATAAAGCCTGCATGTTAATGCATGTATGTTTACCCATTTGTCCTCCCCATTTTTAGGTTGAAAACAATATAAAAACTAATATAACCAAAGATAAATTTAGTATTAGGCTAATAGGATTTTTGTTTTACTTCTTCTGATAGTAAATCTTGATTTGGCAGTCTCATTGCAAGAAAAGGGAGAAATGCAATAAATGTGTGTCTGCTAGCTGCTTTGTACATTGGTTGAAAAATCAAGATCCCACATATTAGGTGAAAAAAGCAAGTTGCAGGAGAGATTTATATACATATATTTAAACTTGCTTACAGGCACACATATAACTCCTTGTTCTCAAACCTTAAGAAAGTCATATGAGTAGAAAAGGGGATGTTTTTACTTTTTACCTAATAAAGTTATGTTTGGGCTCAAACACTTTTTTGGGAACAAGCATGTATTCTTTTATTATATAAACTAAAAAGGAAAACAAAAAATAGAATTAATTCACTTTATAAAAATCCAAAATAAGAAAAAAATTGAATGTGCCTAAACTCTGTGATGTCGTTAGGAAAGTGAAAAGAGACTCAGGAGATCAAAGAGAAAGATGTTACTCTGGGAATTACAGGTGTGGGGTGAGTCTTAGATGACTGAATTTTACTTTTTTTAATAGTAACTATAACATGTTCTACAGCTCCCTAATGTTCTTCCTCAATAAGAATGCATTTGGTGCATATCAGAATTTATCTGCTAGACTAGATTGATAAGAATTTCTTTCTTTTTGGTCTTGCTTGTGGCAGCTGTCTGTGGAAGCATAATTGTTCTCTACAGAACAATCTGGTAGAAAGTAGGAATAGGAAAAATCAATTGACCTGCTGTGTCATCTCACAATATTACAGCCCTCTGTATGACTTCAGGTATAATTCTTTTAAAAATTTTTTTATATATTTTTTTGGGTAACAATTTCAGGAGCAGCAAGTTATTGTGAAATTAGTCCACTCTGATGCACGTGTGTTTATTAGATATAGTTCCATAATTCTGCCCAGTTCTATGTAAAATGAACAAAAATCACTGCTTAGAATCCTTAAAATTAAGACGTTTCCCTCTTCAGACTTAGAAATCCAGAGCCAAATGCGTTCAGACTTTTCAGAATCAATAAAACACATGCTTCTTGTGTTTCATACATGAGGAAATCTGAATAAATTTGGTTCATTATAAATGTAGGTAATTCTGAGAAAACCGGTAATTGTAAAATTTGTTTGCAGAAGAGATACTCTGACAGTTTTATCCAGCAGTTCATTTTAGGTTCTAATTATGATTTAGGCGGAGGAAATCTCAATCCTTTGATTTACTAAGCTCTGTTGTTCAATAGTTTCTCTTCAAAGCAGAAATCAAGTGCAACATCCTACTCTAGTAGAAAGCCAGTTTGGGTAAAAGTTTCTTCCTCAAAGCAAACTAACATGGCATTTCCCAGGGCACAGCATTTTGGATTCCCAGGAAAAGCAAACACACATGTCTCATGTGAATTCTGTATGGGGCAATGAAAACACCTAAATACCTCCTCCAGGAATGTTCCATTTGGGTTTATAATAACTCCATGGTTAATTATCCAACATTAGCTATCTGTGGCTATTTACTATACTGGCATTTTAAAGGGTGAGAAGGGCTTGTGTCAGCCTGATTTGTTTTCTTACATTCTGAATGACACATTCTCCAGTACTTAGCCCCATTGTTGGATTCAGTAACATTTGCTTTGTAGCTGTTTTTGGTTCTCTATGTTTGGAAGATATTTATTTACTGTTTTTGTAAAATGGCATTGTTTCCAGTTAGTTGGCTGGGCAACTTCTGAAAACTACCAGAGTCATTTGCTAAGACAATTGATGTTTGATTTATCGGTGCAGAGGCCAAATTGGAAAACCAAAACAAATAATAAAAAACAATAACAAGGGTGGAACATCTAAACCTTGAGCTTATATATTAATATGTGTCTGCTATAGATTTTGCAACTCTGGTTGATACTTTGTGGCTCTGAAAAGCACACAAACACATTCCTACCTCAGCACCAACAGGAACTACGCCCCAGCGTTGTTGTGTATTTAAAGTAGCCTGTATGTCGCTTGGTCCAGTAGAATGTAGCTGAACCATGGATGTGCTGATGATGGTGTTGAAGGGCTGTTAAAGTTTGGAAACGTGAGAGCTGTGTATTACCTTGTGAGCTGGTGGTCCTGCTGCATTCTAGGATGTGGACGGTGGAATGGGTGAGAATGGGGTAAAAATGGGAAGAAATTCAGGCCCTTGGAAAAAACATATTCAAGATGTGTGAAAAAGGATTGAATTAAAAGAGGGGAGAGACACTCTTCTTTGACATTTGTTCTGGGGTATGTTTGAGAACAGGACACAAATTCAGGAAACATTCTGCAAGTAGAAAACAGGAAAGCCCAACTTTAAATGACTTCCAAATGAGGAAACTTTCAAAAGCATTTTGATCTGAGACCAAGAATGGTTCTGGGGAGAGAGGAAGGGAGACGGGGACACCGTGAGCCCTCAGTGGGCAGAGGGATCTCTGCCGTGGCTTTGCAGAGGATGAAAAGGAGAACTAAAAAGAGGAACTGGTGCTACCTGAACAAGCCTGATTTGTGGGGTAACCGTGCCAAGGGAAAGTGAGCAACGAGTCTGGACTGGTAGTTAGCTGCCCATGTGGGGTTATGGAGAGAGACCTTCACTCCACAGTCAGGCGCCCTCCTTGTTCTGCGTGGCCAGCTCAGCCTGAGCCCTGCCACACCGTGGGTGAAGAGGGGACACAGCCAGCAGAGCCCAGCATTCCCAGGCAGACTCTGAGTCCTGGAACAGTGGGCACCCATGAGTCATGCTGGGAATTCTCTCAGAACTCTTCTGGGCACTTTTAGGAACAAGGTTAAGGTAGAACACACTTGGGCCCGGAGTAAATA